AGTTATCTTCCTTTGTCCATGATTATAGTTGAATCAACTACAATCAATGCTTTATACAATGCAATGTTTAATTTTGACTTCCACTGATAAAACACAGATCAAGTTGAATTTGGGTATTGTCACTTTAACCATTATTGAGTTATGCCCCTTTATAAATCGAAAGATTGCAAAATTTTTAGTTTCCATTCTGTAACTTAAGTTTGCCCCAACCAAACATTATGAAACCTATACACAATATTCATTACCACAAAACTAAGATCAAGTACAAAGTTTTTGTTTCCGTTTTCTAACTTAAGTTTGCCTCAACCAAATGTTATGAGACTTGCACACAATGCTAATTACCACAAAACTCAGATCAAGTTCAAATTTGGGTAGCGTCACTTTTACCTTTCTTCAGTTATGTCCCTTTATAACTATATGATATGCAAGCGGGGGCATCATCTGTGTCCACATGTGGACACTATCCACATTTATTTTTTCGTGAAACACTCACACTTGAATCATTAAACAAATGTTGTATCTCCATATTGCCGAGACTAGCAGTGAAAATCTGTAATGGGCCATAAGAATATTGCAGGCAGGAATACGTGAACGTGCTGTTTTCAGACAATTTCACGTCAGAAACTTGTTTTACTGTCCTTACAACAACGGTACAGGCAGACAGGATTTGTTGATGAGCATCAATGACCAGATCAATATGTAGTGACGACACAACGTCAATAAATTTTGATTATGCAACATCATTTGCGAGACTTATTTATGGCTGAAACATCAACTGCTAATCAAGTCGACGAATGTAATGGCAGACAGATTCATGCCAAAAATGTTTCGCATTTACTGAAATTGAAAAGAATCGACTGCAGAAAAACATTTGAAGCTCTAAATTTTAAACCCCTTAATTGCTAAAACACACTGTAATGCAAGGGGCACAGGCAAATTCAAAAGGTACAAAACAGAACTCAAAACATGCCCAACAAAATTGGTTGACCGTTCTGACAATCATTTTCACGTTGGTTACAGGCAGTCATTGCCTTCGACGGTGACACATCCATTGATAAGGAGAAAACCAATGTTTATATATATTAAACAAAAACTTTAATAAATAAAAATTTAATAATAAAAATATCTTTAAAATTGTGTTAATGTGCATCCAGAAATGCAGTTGCTCATGTCTTTCCAAACGCAGAACTCAAAGGTTGTTTGTTCCACTACACAAAAGCCATATGGAAAAAGACACAAGAATATGGGCTTCAAACTCAATACAAAGATGTCCTGGATGGCAACAAACTCGTCCGTCGTGCAGCAGCCTTACCATTACTGCCCTTAGATCGTTTGGTTACATTCCTTGAGGGCAGATGCCCACAACCAACCTGGAACCACCACCAAACAGAAGGACCCAGGATAAATAATCATTTAGAGGGCTGGCATAACAACCTGAAAAAGAGGGTCAAAACAGCACATCCAAACATATTTGAAATTATCAATGTGTTCAAGAAAGAGCAAGCAGCTAACGAGGTAAAGAAAGTACAGTATGCAGCAGGTGGCAAGATGAGGGGAAAAGCTAAAAAGTATAGAGAAGTAGACATGGTAGAAGAAAGATTCACCACTTTGAAGGAAAACCTACATAATGATACAACTGACTATATTCAGTATGGTGATGCAGCATCCTACATCCTTAAACTTGGAAACTAAATGAATTTTTCTACGCATTACAAATAGTATTAACAGGTCTATTTATAACAGTTCATAAAATAATAGACAAAACTTGCTTTTTACCCCTATGTTCTATTTTAGCCATGTCAGCCATGTTGGTTGGTAGGCAGGGTTATCTGACTCATTTTTTAACAAGATACCTTAATGATGAGTGTGGCCAAGTTTGGTTGAATTTGTCTACGTAGTTTCAGAAAAGATTTTTGTAAAGGATAACAAAAATTTACGAAAAATTCTTAAAAATTAATACTCATTCTCTGTAACAACTTAAACTTTTTCGGCACACATAGTCACCGATCTTTCTGAAAATTGGCTAATATGTATATCCTATTAGCCTTGTCAGAAAAATAATGCCAACCGATATATATATTGGTTGGTTACCCACCAAAAATTAAAAAAAAAAACATCTTCTTTTAAAAAGTATTTAATGGCAGAATTTGGCATCAAAATAACAAATATCAACTAATTGCAATACAAACAAAAAATAACTTAATTACATTGTTTACACAAGCTCCCATTTCGCCTTAGTTAATTCTTGTGTAGACTGTACCTGAAAATTTGTACTAAGGCGAACTGGGATTAATTTTATATAATGATTTTGACAGCTAAGGCGAAATGAGAATAAGCCCTTTCAACCATGTTTTGTCATCATTTATTAGGGGCTGTTGTTTTTATAGTAATTAAATGTTCACACCTAGTAATGCCAGGTGATAGGTAATAAGACACCTGTAACTTCATTTACCTGTAGTTTTATGTACCTGTAAAAATTATGCATTTTCAATAAAAAATATCTTGATTGAAAAAAGGTTGTAATAATTAAGTTGTCAATTCCTTTATATATATCTAAAATATGCAATATCATAACTTATAAGGACTAAATTAGTAGGTATAAGTGTTAAAAATGAATAAAACATATCAAATTCATTCATTTATATCAGCTGAAACATGCCAAAAGATAAAAGTTTAAATATATCTTACTTTTTATCATTTTTTTACTTCAATAAATAGTAAAAACCACCATGAAAATTTCAATCGACCAGTATTTGCCAGTATTGACCACTTGAGGAGCTGGTATTTACTGCCCAACCTTGATCTTTATACATTTATTTTAATAAAATTGCCTGTTTGAAAATGGGAATAAAAAAGAATAATCTAGTGTTGCGTTTTTAAAGTCCGTCAGTATAGGAATATGTTCTTGTCGATTAATTATCTTAAAGCAAAAATGGCAGTGAAAAATCTGGCATGGTATTATTATGTTTGGCCTCGTTGAACCTAACAATGTAAATGACACACAGGGTATACATGTGGGAACAGATTCCTACCCCCCCCTTTTTTATACTAGTGCAAAAAAATTTTGCGGTCGTATACTGGTATGACGTTGGCGTCGTCGTCCAAGACACATTGGTTTTCGCACTCTAACTTTAGTTTAAGTTAATGGATCTCTATGAAATTTTTTAAGAAGGTTCAATACCACAAAAAGAATGTGGGGATTGATTTTGGGGGTTATGGTACCAACAGTTAAGGAATTAGGGGCCAAAAATAAGCATTTTTGTCGAGCCTTCGACTTTAGTCAAAAAAGTGAGACATAGCGATCCTACATTCCATGGGCGTCGGCGACGGAGTCCACAAATATTCACTCTGTGGTTTAAGTTTTTGAATTTTAATAACTTTCTTAAACTATCCTGGATTTCTACCAAACTTGGACAGAAGCTTGTTTATGATCATTAGATAGTATCCAGAAGTAAATTTTGTAAAAATAAAATTCCATTTTTTCCGTATTTTACTTAAAAATGGACTTAGTTTTTCTGCCTGGAAATATTACATTCACTCTGTCAGTCAGGGGTGCTACTTGTACAAGTAATTTTTATTTACTTGAAGAAGTAAAAAAAAATATACACATATAAGTAAATTATAATGTTTGAATAATCTCCCCTTTATTTTCTCAAAAATTCACTTGTATAAGTAAATTTTTCTTACAATTCCACAAAAATTCTCAAGTTTTGAGATGTAAAATCATGCATTAATGATTTTTCCCAGGTTAGCTCATAATTTTTTATTAAAGTTCAATGTTTCATCTCATTAATTCAACAAAGAAACTGATTGCGCAAAGTATCTTTGCGCAAGGCCTTCAAAAATTGCTCCTTGGGGGCTTGTAAATAAGCAGTGTTCTGAAGATGACAGACAAATGGGATTTTCATTGTCCATGAAATTACACTTAAATGATTAGTAAAGACATCTGCAAAGGGCAGACAATTTAAAATTCTATTGGAGCAATGAAATCCTAAGAATTCAAGAAAAGAAGATAGGATGACTTTTTGTCGAGCCTGCGACTTTTGTTGCAGAAAGCTCGACATAGGGATAGTGATCCGGCGGCGGCGGCGTTAGCTCACTTCTTAAAAGCTTTATATTTTAGAAGGTGGAAGACCTGGATGCTTCATACTTTGTATATAGATGCCTCATGTTACGAAGTTTCCGTCAGTCACATGTCCAATGTCCTTGACCTCATTTTCATGGTTCAGTGACTACTTGAAAAAAAAGTTAACATTTTTTGTAATGTTAAATTCTCTCTTATTATAAGTAGTAGGATAACTATATTTGGTATGTGCGTACCTTGCAAGGTCCTCATGCCCGTCAGACAGTTTTCACTTGACCTCGACCTCATTTAATGGATCAGTGAACAAGGTTAAGTTTTGGTGGTCAAGTCCATATCTCAGATACTATAAGCAATAGGTCTAGTATATTCGGTGTATGGAAGGACTGTAAGGTGTACATGTCCAACTGGTAGGTGTCATCTGACCTTGACCTTGTTTTCATGGTTCAGTGGTTATAGTTAAGTTTTTGTGTTTTGGTCTGTTTTTTGTCGAGCCTAGCTCGACATAGAGATAGTGATCCGGCGGCGGCGGCGGCGGCGGCGTTAGCTTACTTCTTAAAAGCTTTATATTTTAGAAGGTGGAAGGTCTGGATGCTTCATACTTTGTATATGGATGCCTCATGTTACGAAGTTTCCGTCAGTCACATGTCCAATGTCCTTGACCTCATTTTCATGGTTCAGTGACTACTTGAAAAAAAAGTTCAGATTTTTTGTAATGTTAGATTCTCTCTTATTATAAGTAATAGGATAACTATATTTGGTATGTGCGTAACTTGCAAGGTCCTCATGCCCGTCAGACAGTTTTCACTTGACCTCAACCTCATTTCATGGATCAGTGAACAAGGTTAAGTTTTGGTGGTCAAGTCCATATCTCAGATACTATAAGCAATAGGTCTTGTATATTCGGTGTATGGAAGGACTGTAAGGTGTACATGTCCAACTGGCAGGTGTCATCTGACCTTGACCTCATTTTCATGGTTCAGTGGTTATAGTTAAGTTTTGTGTTTTGGTCTGTTTTTCTTATACTGTATGCCATAGGTCTACTTTATTTGGTGTATGGAATGATTGTAAGGTGTACATGTCTAGCGGGCAGGTGTCATCTGACCTTGACCTCATTTTCATGGTTCAGTGGTCAAAGTTAAGTTTTTGAGTTTTGGTCTTTTTTTCTAATACTATATGCAATAGTTCAACTATATTTGGTATGTGCGTACCTTGCAAGGTCCTCATGCCCGTCAGACAGTTTTCACTTGACCTCAACCTCATTTTATGGATCAGTGAACAAGGTTAAGTTTTGGTGGTCAAGTCCATATCTCAGATACTATAAGCAATAGGTCTTGTATATTCGGTGTATGGAAGGACTGTAAAGTGTACATGTCCAACTGGCAGGTGTCATCTGACCTTGACCTCATTTTCATGGTTCAGTGGTTATAGTTAAGTTTTTGTGTTTTGGTCTGTTTTTCTTATACTGTATGCCATAGGTCTACTTTATTTGGTGTATGGAATGATTGTAAGATGTACATGTCTAGCGGGCAGGTGTCACCTGACCTTGACCTCATTTTCATGGTTCAGTGGTCAAAGTTAAGTTTTTGAGTTTTGGTCTTTTTTTCTAATACTATATGCAATAGTTCAACTATATTTGGTATGTGCGTACCTTGCAAGGTCCTCATGCCCGTCAGACAGTTTTCACTTGACCTCGACCTCATTTTATGGATCAGTGAACAAGGTTAAGTTTTGGTGGTCAAGTCCATATCTCAGATACTATAAGCAATAGGTCTTGTATATTCGGTGTATGGAAGGACTGTAAGGTCTACATGTCCAACTGGCAGGTGTCATCTGACCTTGACCTCATTTTCATGGTTCAGTGGTTATAGTTAAGTTTTTGTGTTTTGGTCTGTTTTTCTTATACTGTATGCCATAGGTCTACTATATTTGGTGTATGGAATGATTGTAAGGTGTACATGTCTAGCGGGCAGGTGTCATCTGACCATGACCTCATTTTCATGGTTCAGTGGTCAAAGTTAAGTTTTTTTAGTTTTGGTCTTTTTTTCTAATACTATATGCAATAGTTCAACTATATTTGGTGTATGGAAATATTTTATGATCTATTTGGCAGTCACGCAGGTTTTATTTGACCTTGACCTCATTTTCAAGGTTCATTGCTCAGTGTTAAGTTTTTGTGTTTTGGTCTGTTTTTCTTAAACTATAAGCAATAGGTCAACTATATTTGTTGTATGGAAGAATTGTTAGCTGTACATGCCTGCCTAGCATGGTTCATCTGACCTTGACCTCATTTTCATGGTTCATTGGTCAATGTTTAGTTTACTTGGTTAATGTTAAGTTTATGTGACAGTTGTAATAAAGCTTTATATTTAGGACTATCAACATAATATCAATGATTAGTAAAGAAGGCGAGACATTTCAGCGTGTGCACTCTTGTCTTATACTGTATGCAATAGGTCTACTATATTTGGTGTATGGAATGATTGTAAGGTGTACATGTCTAGCTGGCAGGTGTCATCTGACCTTGACCTCGTTTTCATGGTTCAGTGGTTATAGTTAAGTTTTTGTGTTTTGGTCTGTTTTTCTTATACTGTAAGCAATAGGTCTACTATATTTGGTGTATGGAATGATTGTAAGGTGTACATGTCTAGCTTGCAGGTGTCATCTGACCTTGATCTCGTTTTCATGGTTCAGTGGTTATAGTTAAGTTTTTGTGTTTTGGTCTGTTTTTCTTATACTGTATGCCATAGGTCTACTTTATTTGGTGTATGGAATGATTGTAAGGTGTACATGTCTAGCTGGCAGGTGTCATCTGACCTTGACCTCGTTTTCATGGTTCAGTTGTCAAAGGTAAGTTTTTGAGTTTTGGTCTTTTTTTCTAATACTATATGCAATAGGTCAACTATATTTGGTGTATGGAAATATTTTATGATCTTTATGTCAGTCGCGCAGGTTTTATATGACCTTGACCTCATTTTCATGGTTCATTGCTCAGTGTTAAGTTTTTGTGTTTTGGTCTTAAACTATAAGCAATAGGTCAACTATATTTGTTATATGGAAGAATTGTTAACTGTACATGTCTGCCTGGAATGGTTCATCTGACCTTGACCTCATTTTCATGGTTCATTGGTCAATGTTTAGTTTTTGTCGAGCCTGCGACTTTTGTCGCAGAAAGCGCGACATAGGGATAGTGATCCGGCGGCGGCGGCGGCATTAGCTAACTTCTTAAAAGCTTTATATTTTAGAAGGTAGAAGGTCTGGATGCTTCATACTTTGTATATGGATGCCTCATGATACGAAGTTTCCGTCAGTCACATGTCCAATGTCCTTGACCTCATTTTCATGGTTCAGTGACTACTTGAAAAAAAAGTTCAGATTTTTTGTAATGTTAGATTCTCTCTTATTATAAGTAATAGGATAACTATATTTGGTATGTGCGTACCTTGCAAGGTCCTCATGCCCGTCAGACAGTTTTCACTTGACCTCGACCTCATTTCATGGATCAGTGAACAAGGTTAAGTTTTGGTGGTCAAGTCCATATCTCAGATACTATAAGCAATAGGTCTTGTATATTCGGTGTATGGAAGGACTGTAAGGTGTACATGTCCAACTGGCAGGTGTCATCTGACCTTGACCTCATTTTCATGGTTCAGTGGTTATAGTTAAGTTTTTGTGTTTTGGTCTGTTTTTCTTATCCTGTATGCCATAGGTCTACTATATTTGGTGTATGGAATGATTTTAAGGTGTACATGTCTAGCGGGCAGGTGTCATCTGACCTTGACCTCATTTTCATGGTTCAGTGGTCAAAGTTAAGTTTTTGAGTTTTGGTCTTTTTTTCTTATAATATATGCAATAGTTCAACTATATTTGGTATGTGCGTACCTTGCAAGGTCCTCATGCCCGTCAGACAGTTTTCACTTGACCTTGACCTCATTTCATGGATCAGTGAACAAGGTTAAGTTTTGGTGGTCAAGTCCATATCTCAGATACTATAAGCAATAGGTCTAGTATATTCGGTGTATGGAAGGACTGTAAGGTGTACATGTCCAACTGGCAGGTGTCATCTGACCTTGACCTCATTTTCATGGTTCAGTGGTTATAGTTAAGTTTTTGTGTTTTGGTCTGTTTTTCTTATACTGTATGCCATAGGTCTACTATATTTGGTGTATGGAATGATTGTAAGGTGTACATGTCTAGCGGGCAGGTGTCATCTGACCTTGACCTCATTTTCATGGTTCAGTGGTCAAAGTTAAGTTTTTGAGTTTTGGTCTTTTTTTCTAATACTATATGCAATAGTTCAACTATATTTGGTATGTGCGTACCTTGCAAGGTCCTCATGCCCGTCAGACAGTTTTCACTTGACCTCAACCTCATTTTATGGATCAGTGAACAAGGTTAAGTTTTGGTGGTCAAGTCCATATCTCAGATACTATAAGCAATAGGTCTTGTATATTCGGTGTATGGAAGGACTGTAAAGTGTACATGTCCAACTGGCAGGTGTCATCTGACCTTGACCTCATTTTCATGGTTCAGTGGTTATAGTTAAGTTTTTGTGTTTTGGTCTGTTTTTCTTATACTGTATGCCATAGGTCTACTTTATTTGGTGTATGGAATGATTGTAAGATGTACATGTCTAGCGGGCAGGTGTCATCTGACCTTGACCTCATTTTCATGGTTCAGTGGTCAAAGTTAAGTTTTTGAGTTTTGGTCTTTTTTTCTAATACTATATGCAATAGTTCAACTATATTTGGTATGTGCGTACCTTGCAAGGTCCTCATGCCCGTCAGACAGTTTTCACTTGACCTCGACCTCATTTTAGGGATCAGTGAACAAGGTTAAGTTTTGGTGGTCAAGTCCATATCTCAGATACTATAAGCAATAGGTCTTGTATATTCGGTGTATGGAAGGACTGTAAGGTGTACATGTCCAACTGGCAGGTGTCATCTGATCATGACCTCATTTTCATGGTTCAGTGGTCAAAGTTAAGTTTTTTTAGTTTTGGTCTTTTTTTCTAATACTATATGCAATAGTTCAACTATATTTGGTGTATGGAAATATTTTATGATCTATTTGGCAGTCACGCAGGTTTTATTTGACCTTGACCTCATTTTCAAGGTTCATTGCTCAGTGTTAAGTTTTTGTGTTTTGGTCTGTTTTTCTTAAACTATAAGCAATAGGTCAACTATATTTGTTGTATGGAAGAATTGTTAGCTGTACATGCCTGCCTAGCATGGTTCATCTGACCTTGACCTCATTTTCATGGTTCATTGGTCAATGTTTAGTTTACTTGGTTAATGTTAAGTTTATGTGACAGTTGTAATAAAGCTTTATATTTAGGACTATCAACATAATATCAATGATTAGTAAAGAAGGCGAGACATTTCAGCGTGTGCACTCTTGTCTTATACTGTATGCAATAGGTCTACTATATTTGGTGTATGGAATGATTGTAAGGTGTACATGTCTAGCTGGCAGGTGTCATCTGACCTTGACCTCGTTTTCATGGTTCAGTGGTTATAGTTAAGTTTTTGTGTTTTGGTCTGTTTTTCTTATACTGTAAGCAATAGGTCTACTATATTTGGTGTATGGAATGATTGTAAGGTGTACATGTCTAGCTGGCAGGTGTCATCTGACCTTGACCTCGTTTTCATGGTTCAGTGGTTATAGTTAAGTTTTTGTGTTTTGGTCTGTTTTTCTTATACTGTAAGCAATAGGTCTACTATATTTGGTGTATGGAATGATTGTAAGGTGTACATGTCTAGCTTGCAGGTGTCATCTGACCTTGACCTCGTTTTCATGGTTCAGTGGTTATAGTTAAGTTTTTGTGTTTTGGTCTGTTTTTCTTATACTGTATGCCATAGGTCTACTTTATTTGGTGTATGGAATGATTGTAAGGTGTACATGTCTAGCTGGCAGGTGTCATCTGACCTTGATCTCGTTTTCATGGTTCAGTTGTCAAAGGTAAGTTTTTGAGTTTTGGTCTTTTTTTCTAATACTATATGCAATAGGTCAACTATATTTGGTGTATGGAAATATTTTATGATCTTTATGTCAGTCGCGCAGGTTTTATATGACCTTGACCTCATTTTCACGGTTCATTGCTCAGTGTTAAGTTTTTGTGTTTTGGTCTTAAACTATAAGCAATAGGTCAACTATATTTGTTATATGGAAGAATTGTTAACTGTACATGTCTGCCTGGAATGGTTCATCTGACCTTGACCTCATTTTCATGGTTCATTGGTCAATGTTTAGTTTTTGTCGAGCCTGCGACTTTTGTCGCAGAAAGCGCGACATAGGGATAGTGATCCGGCGGCGGCGTTAGCTAACTTCTTAAAAGCTTTATATTTTAGAAGGTAGAAGGTCTGGATGCTTCATACTTTGTATATGGATGCCTCATGATACGAAGTTTCCGTCAGTCACATGTCCAATGTCCTTGACCTCATTTTCATGGTTCAGTGACTACTTGAAAAAAAAGTTCAGATTTTTTGTAATGTTAGATTCTCTCTTATTATAAGTAATAGGATAACTATATTTGGTATGTGCGTACCTTGCAAGGTCCTCATGCCCGTCAGACAGTTTTCACTTGACCTCGACCTCATTTCATGGATCAGTGAACAAGGTTAAGTTTTGGTGGTCAAGTCCATATCTCAGATACTATAAGCAATAGGTCTAGTATATTCGGTGTATGGAAGGACTGTAAGGTGTACATGTCCAACTGGCAGGTGTCATCTGACCTTGACCTCATTTTCATGGTTCAGTGGTTATAGTTAAGTTTTTGTGTTTTGGTCTGTTTTTCTTATACTGTATGCCATAGGTCTACTATATTTGGTGTATGGAATGATTGTAAGGTGTACATGTCTAGCGGGCAGGTGTCATCTGATCATGACCTCATTTTCATGGTTCAGCGGTCAAAGTTAAGTTTTTTCAGTTTTGGTCTTTTTTTCTAATACTATATGCAATAGTTCAACTATATTTGGTATGTGCGTACCTTGCAAGGTCCTCATGCCCGTCAGACAGTTTTCACTTGACCTTGACCTCATTTCATGGATCAGTGAACAAGGTTAAGTTTTGGTGGTCAAGTCCATATCTCAGATACTATAAGCAATAGGTCTAGTATATTCGGTGTATGGAAGGACTGTAAGGTGTACATGTCCAACTGGCAGGTGTCATCTGACCTTGACCTCATTTTCATGGTTCAGTGGTTATAGTTAAGTTTTTGTGTTTTGGTCTGTTTTTCTTATACTGTATGCCATAGGTCTACTATATTTGGTGTATGGAATGATTGTAAGGTGTACATGTCTAGCGGGCAGGTGTCATCTGACCTTGACCTCATTTTCATGGTTCAGTGGTCAAAGTTAAGTTTTTGAGTTTTGGTCTTTTTTTCTAATACTATATGCAATAGTTCAACTATATTTGGTATGTGCGTACCTTGCAAGGTCCTCATGCCCGTCAGACAGTTTTCACTTGACCTCAACCTCATTTTATGGATCAGTGAACAAGGTTAAGTTTTGGTGGTCAAGTCCATATCTCAGATACTATAAGCAATAGGTCTTGTATATTCGGTGTATGGAAGGACTGTAAAGTGTACATGTCCAACTGGCAGGTGTCATCTGACCTTGACCTCATTTTCATGGTTCAGTGGTTATAGTTAAGTTTTTGTGTTTTGGTCTGTTTTTCTTATACTGTATGCCATAGGTCTACTTTATTTGGTGTATGGAATGATTGTAAGATGTACATGTCTAGCGGGCAGGTGTCATCTGACCTTGACCTCATTTTCATGGTTCAGTGGTCAAAGTTAAGTTTTTGAGTTTTGGTCTTTTTTTCTAATACTATATGCAATAGTTCAACTATATTTGGTATGTGCGTACCTTGCAAGGTCCTCATGCCCGTCAGACAGTTTTCACTTGACCTCGACCTCATTTTAGGGATCAGTGAACAAGGTTAAGTTTTGGTGGTCAAGTCCATATCTCAGATACTATAAGCAATAGGTCTAGTATATTCGGTGTATGGAAGGACTGTAAGGTGTACATGTCCAACTGGCAGGTGTCATCTGACCTTGACCTCATTTTCATGGTTCAGTGGTTATAGTTAAGTTTTTGTGTTTTGGTCTGTTTTTCTTATACTGTATGCCATAGGTCTACTATATTTGGTGTATGGAATGATTGTAAGGTGTACATGTCTAGCGGGCAGGTGTCATCTGACCTTGACCTCATTTTCATGGTTCAGCGGTCAAAGTTAAGTTTTTTCAGTTTTGGTCTTTTTTTCTAATACTATATGCAATAGTTCAACTATATTTGGTATGTGCGTACCTTGCAAGGTCCTCATGCCCGTCAGACAGTTTTCACTTGACCTTGACCTCATTTCATGGATCAGTGAACAAGGTTAAGTTTTGGTGGTCAAGTCCATATCTCAGATACTATAAGCAATAGGTCTAGTATATTTGGTGTATGGAAGGACTGTAAGGTGTACATGTCCAACTGGCAGGTGTCATCTGACCTTGACCTCATTTTCATGGTTTAGTGGTTATAGTTAAGTTTTTGTGTTTTGGTCTGTTTTTCTTATACTGTATGCCATAGGTCTACTATATTTGGTGTATGGAATGATTGTAAGGTGTACATGTCTAGCGGGCAGGTGTCATCTGACCTTGACCTCATTTTCATGGTTCAGTGGTCAAAGTTAAGTTTTTTTCAGTTTTGGTCTTTTTTTCTAATACTATATGCAATAGTTCAACTATATTTGGTGTATGGAAATATTTTATGATCTATTTGGCAGTCACGCAGGTTTTATTTGACCTTGACCTCATTTTTACGGTTCATTGCTCAGTGTTAAGTTTTTGTGTTTTGGTCTGTTTTTCTTAAACTATAAGCAATAGGTCAACTATATTTGTTGTATGGAAGAATTGTTAGCTGTTCATGCCTGCCTAGCATGGTTCATCTGACCTTGACCTCATTTTCATGGTTTATTGGTCAATGTTTAGTTTACTTGGTTAATGTTAAGTTTATGTGACAGTTGTAATAAAGCTTTATATTTAGGACTATCAACATAATATCAATGATTAGTAAAGAAGGCGAGACATTTCAGCGTGTGCACTCTTGTCTTGGTTAATGTTAAGTTTATGTGACAGTTGTAATAAAGCTTTATATTTAGGACTGTCAACATAATATCAATGATTAGTAAAGAAGGCGAGACATTTCAGTGTGTGCACTCTTGTTTACTAATACAGGTAAAAAAATCTGAATGTCTAAGGGACATAACTAAGCCAATATTTTTTTTACCTATACAAGTAAATAAAATTCACTTTTACAAGTATCCTCCAAATTAACTTATATGTGTATATTTTTTTTTACTTCCTCAAGTAAATAAAAATTACTTGTTTAAGTAGTACCCCTGACTGTCTGTGTTTAAAGTTTTTAAAATTTTAATTACTTTCTTAAACTGTCCTTGGTTGGTACCAAACTTGGACAGAAGCTTGTTTATGATCATAAGCTAGTATCTAGAAGGAAATTTTGTAAAAAATAAATCCATTTTTTCCGTATTTTACTTTTAAAGGGACTTAGATTTTCTGCCAGGAAACAACACATTCACTCTGTGGTTAAAGTTTTTAAAATTTTAATAACTTTCTTAAACTATCCTGAATTTGTACCAAACTTGGACAGAAGCTTGTTTATGATCAAAAGCTAGTATCTAGAAGGAAATTTTGTAAAAAATAAATCCATTTTTTCCGTATTTTACTTTTAAAGGGACTTAGATTTTCTGCCAGGAAACAACACATTCACTCTGCATGCTCTGGTTAAAGTTTTTAAAATTTTAATAACTTTCTTATACTATTTTGGATTTGTACCAAACTTGGACAGAAGCTTGTTTATGATCAAATGCTAATATCTAGAAGGAAATTTTGTTTTCTTCCAGTTAACATTACATTCAGTCTGCAGTTATTTAGTTATTAAACATTTATTAGATTCATAAACTATCCTGGATTTTTACCAAACTTGGACAGAAGCTTCTTACAATCAAAAGATAGTATCGAGAGGAATATTTTTATTGATTTACTTCCTCATTTTTGTTGAGCCTGCGATTAACAGAAAAAGTAGGCGAGACACTGGGTTCCGCGGAACCCTTACGAATTTTTGTAACTTCCAGTTATAACTTGTGTGTTAGTGTATAGATCTCTCTGACATTGTACCACAAGGTTCCATATCACAAAGGGAATGCTGGGATTGATTTTGGGGGTAATTGCTTCCAAATTTTAGGAATTAGGGGCCAAAAAGGAAGCATTTTTCTAGTTTCATGACAATAACTTGTGTGTAAGTGTATGGATCTCTCTGACATTGTACCACAAGGTTCCATATCACAAAGGGAATGCTGGGATTGATTTTGGGGGTAATTGCCTCCAAATTTTAGGAATTAGGGGCCAAAAAGGGGCAAAAACATGCATTTTTCTAGTTTCCAGACAATAACTGGTGTGTAAGTGTATGGATCTTTATGAAATTGTACTACAAGATTCCATACCACAAAGGGAAGGCTTGGATTGATTTTGGGGGTAATTGCCTCAAAATTTTACAAATTAGGGGCCATAAAGGGGCAAAAAAACAAGCATTTTTCTAGTTTCAGGACAATAACTTGTGTGTAAGTGTATGGATCTTTATGAAATTGTACTGCAAGGTAATATATCACAAAGGGAAAGCTGGGTTTGAGTTTGGGGGTTAGAATCATAAGGGGGTTCAAAAAATTGAGGAGGGATTTTTTTTTCCTAATTTTCTTTTTTTTTTCTTTAGAAATTTCCATTTTAAGTTGGTTATTTTTTATTTATATATAAAAGCAAATAATAATGATATGGTTTGATTTCATCAAAAATTGACATATTTGGGTTCTTTGATATGCTGAATCTAACCGTGTATTTAGATTCTTAATTTTTGGTCCACTTTTCAAATTGGTCTACATTAAGGTCCAAAGGGGCCAAAATTAAACTTAGTCTGATTTTAACAAAAAATGAATTCTTAGGGTTCTTTGATATGCTGAATCTAACTGTGTATGTATTTTGATTTTGGATATTGGACCATAATAGGTAAATTTAAATTTTTTAAGTTCTTAGACCACATTCATTCTGTGTCAGAAACCTATGCTGTGTCAAATATTGAATCACAATCCAAATTCAGAGCTGTATCAAGCTTTAATGTTGTGTCCATACTTGCCCCAACTGTTCAGGGTTCGACCTCTGCGGTCGTATCAAGCTGCGCCCAGCGGAGCATTTTATTTAATTTAAAATCTGATATCATTGTTTTTACTCCTACCAAGCTACATAATGTAGCTACAAAAATGTACTTATATTTTACTTTACACCAACAAATAAGAATAATACCAAACTTTGTCATGTTTGTAAATACCATATATAATGGTAATCTTAAACATGTTAAATAGATTGATAATAAATCATCTAATCACAAAAAAATATTTCATTTGAAAAATTAATGAAAAATTAATGAATTTTTATTCATGAAAGTAAAAATATTTTGATATATACATTTGAAAAACCATCTAATAATTTTACCAGTATTTAAATAGAAATGGGGTGTGAACAGACCCAGGAGGCAAACGTGTAGGGTGCGAATGTGTTTTGGGAGCAAACAGACCTGAAACCATATGCCATAAACATGATAAACAAGCTTTAACTCCCTACTGGAACATACATGTACATTGTATTTTCTCCAATGTAGTAGGGTTGCCTTCATCCAGGTTGACGTCTACCAAACTTGTCTCTTACAATGTATGTGAAGAGGACTCGGAAACAATAGAATAATTCGTTCATTCATGTTCTGTTCTCGTCTCAGCTGTAGACTATCACTTGCTTGAACTCTCACAAATTATCAATTTTCGCGAAATGTAGGAATGGGTAGTAGAACAATCATAACAAACAATTCACAACTAATATACACCTTATCACTATGGGTGCGCTTGGTTGGCAAGTTTCAGACTATGGGAATGCACGAAATCAACCGGAAGTTCAATAAAACAAGACAGAACTGTGTTTTTAATGCATTCCAAGTGAGCCGAAAAAAGATTAGGTGCAGACAGAATTCAAAATGGCAGAGAAGGGAACTGAAAGGTAAAGATACAATAATCTTTAGCTTTCAGTGAAATAAAAACTGCAAATTGATTATCAGTTGAACTTCAATTAACATAATCAAGGATTTGTATATATAGTAAGACTATACAAATTATTGGTTCAATATATATATAAATATCAACATACTTGATCATATAAGCATTATTTTAAGGGAAATATGCAATAAAACTCTCTTTTTCTGTAAGAATAACATTTTAATGTGGTCGTCTGATGTCTTTTTCGTATAATGATAATCATGACAACTTTGAAGCCAGAATTTTTTATTTGGACACTAAAAAATGTCATGTTTTGTTGGGATAGGCCAAAAGATCCAGCCTACAGAAAAGTGAAGCCAGTTGCAATTATGTCTTGTCACAGGAAAATTCAAATCATTTATTATCATTTCATAAATTCGTATATATTGTTCATGTTGTTATAAATTAAGTAAAATAGAATAAAAGATTAAACAAAAACAATAAGAAACGCAATCTACAATCATGACAATGCCGACTTGTTCGCTTAATTATACCCCACGCAACGAGTTGCGGAGGGTATAATGTTTTTGACCCGTCCGTCTGTCCGTCCGTCAGTCCGTCAGTCCTATTTCTTGTCATCGCAACTCCTCTCAAACCACACAACAGAATTTCACGAAACCTTTTTATACGCCCGTTTACGGGACGTATTATGGTATACCTCTGTCCGTCCGTCCGTCTGTCCGTTGTCAACATGTCAGACATTAACTCAAAAATGCTTTAACCAATTTGCATAAAACTTTGGTGAATTGTTTATATCTATTGACGTGAGCTCCCTTTCGTTTTTTATAAAATTTAGATTTTACATTTCCGAGTTATAGGGTTTTATTCATAAAAAAAGGGGGGATTTTCCAGTTTTCTGATAAAAAATCAAAAATGCTTTCAGCAATTCTTATGAAACTTTAGTGAATTGTTTGTATGTATTGATGTAAGCTCCCTTTAGAATTTTATAAATTTTACATTTTACATTTCCGAGTTATGGGGTTTTATTCATTGAAAAAAGGGGTGATTTTCCAGTTTTCAGACAATTACTCAAAAATGCTGTCACCAATTCTCATGAAACTTTGGTGAATTGTTTATATCTATTGATGTAAGCTCCCTTTTTATTTTCATAAATTTCTAATATGACATTGAGAATTAATTGAACTTTATTTGTTTATAGTCTGACAACAGATTTACTAAGTATTGCACAACAGCAAGAAATCTTTAATTGAATATAAATTCAATTCATATAACCAATTTCAAGTTCTTTGACTACATCTATTCAGAAACCTATAATATGTCAAATATTTAATTACAATGCAAATTCAGACCTGAATCAAGCTTGAATATTGTGTCCATTTTTGCCCCAACTGTTCAGGGTTGGACCTCTGCGGGCGTATCTAGCTGCGCTCAGCGAAGCAGTTTATTAGATAATAAGGACATACTATGTAGTTGTGCATATCGACAGGAAATTACGATTCAATTTTTTTTCTAGGAGTTACGCCCCTTTGAACTTATTTACTTTAATGTACTACTGCAACCTTTTGTCATCGCAACTCCTCTCAAACCACACAACAGAATTTCATGAAACCTTTTCAGATAATAAGGACATACAACGTAGATGTGCATATCGACAGGAAATTACGATTCAATTTTTTTTCCAGGAGTTACGCCCCTTTGAACTTATTTGCCCAATATACTACTGCAACCTTTTGTCATCGCAACTCCTCTCAAACCACACAACAGAATTTCATGAAACCTTTTCAGATAATAAGGACATACTACGTAGATGTGCATATTGACAGGAAATTACGATTCAATTTTTATACGACCGCAAAAATTGAAAATTTTTTGGTCGTATATTGGTATGACGTTGGCGTCGTCGTCGTCGTCGTCTGGCGTCGTCCGGCGTCGTCCGAAGACACATTGGTTTTCGCACTCTAACTTTAGTTTAAGTGAATGGATCTCCATGAAATTTTACCATAAGGTTCAATACCACGAAAGGAAGGTGGGGATTGATTTTGGGGGTTATGGTACCAATAGTTAAGGAATTAGGGGCCAAAAAGGGGCCAAAAA